CTTACCTGTTGAAGGACAAATAAACTCACCTTCCTGAAGGCTAAGTGAAGATATATCTGCATATAATGCATCACTGGTTTTAGAGAAAACTCGAAATGAATCAACAATTGGTCTGTAACCAGTGCAACGACACAAGTTTCCAGCAAGAGATTCTTCAATTTGCTCTTCGGTAGGAGGTGTTTTGCTTGACCGCAACAATGCATACAATGACATGATAAATCCAGGAGTGCAAAATCCACATTGGGAGCCATGAGAACGTGCCAATGATTCCTGCAGAAATATATGAAAATCACAATGAAATGAAAAGTGGAACATTCTTTCCTATAAGGATTCTTGTTGGACTAAGTTTTAGGAAAAACAATGGAATTTAGAAGAGCCATCATCTTAGATTACGCTAATTAGACATCAGATGTTATAGGAAGATTCAAGTTTTATATATTGCCTGTATCATGCAAGAAGCAATCTTGATTACAAAAGAAAAGTTCAACTTTGATGAAAAATTGCACAGTGTACCCAAAACAGCAGATGAATAAGAAATATTCTCTCACATTTACCCCAAGCAATCAAAATACCGTTCACTTTTTCAACTATCATCTATAAGCCAGACAAATAAAATAGATTTCCTCACAAGAATTAAGAAATTGGTATAAATAGAATCAAATAAGGCACTACTAAGAGCAAGCCAACAGAACAAATGTATATTACTTGTATGGGGTGCAAGCCACGTTGGCGGTTACCGACTCCCTCCACTGTAATAATATGCATTCCTTCTACGGAATAAAGAGGAGTCAAGCATGCATTGACAGCATAATGCCTGGAATAAGTTTTGAAAGCATTTATCTTATACAGATGCTGAGAAATGGTGGAAAGCATTGGAAGAAAGAAGGCAGATGGAAAGACTCACATGCATTTCTTCATCTTTTTATCGTAATGAGAAACCATGACAGTGCAAGCCCCACAACCACCTTCACCGCAGCCAAGCTTTGTTCCTGTCAACCCAACGTCTTTACCAACAAAAAAGAACCTGATTAGTTTTTTGCTACTTTAATTTCAGGTTAAATGACATAAAAAAGGGAGAGAGAAAATGAATAAGATAAAACATAAACGAATAATTTATTAAGAAAGAACATCTTGAACATCCTATTCAAGAATCTAGTCCTTAAAAGCATTAAATGATGAATTAAACAGAATGTATATGTGTGTGTGCGTCACGCGAGGTCTCAGAGAAAATGATACACAATTGCGACCAAATAATTTCAACTTCATGTTGAATTTCAGGGTATTGCAAAATTGGGGAAAATGAAACTTAAGAAGAAACAAAATCAGAAAACACACAATCTATAAAACACATAATGTTAGCAGTAACAAGTAGACAAAGTTGACTCTCAAATGATATAGTTCCACAAAGAAAAGGAATTATGCCAACTAATTTAAGGTTCCAAAGTAAACTGTGTTCACAGTTTCTTAACATTGTAAAAGTTGAAATCTGGTCATATATATATCAAATTAAATAACCATTAAAATTCAGAACACTAAGTTATCTTCTCTGCCTAAAGAAAACAGAACATCTGTTAGAAGGTAATTTGCAAAATATCAGAAGCTTTAGATATGGCACGCAGAACATCAAGGAAAAGTAATATGAAAGTAATATGAACTTCAGTTATTTAGTTCGTCTATAGGAGCTTTAGATATGGCACGCAGAACATCAAGGAAAAGTAAAATGAACTTCAGTTATTTAGTTAGTCTATAGGTTAAGTGAAAGAATTTGGCAGTTAAAATGGTTACTTAAAGTCATATAAATAAGTTGTCCGTGCATTTTGTTGTTACAGAATGAAAGACCTCCTTGATCCGTAAAATATCAGCATGTTTTCTAGGATTTTTGTTCACCCCATGGTCTTGGTTACCAGCAACATTTCAGGAGCTTGATTTCTTATAAAAAATAAATTAGTAGGTTGATTAACTGGCTCTAAGCCCCAACCAATCTTATGATTAACTTTGCTTTAGGATATGTATGTAACCAGACTTAATTATGGTTTTATGAACTTCATCTTCTTCTCCTTTTTCCCCTTCCAATTCTCTCTATTTTCTTTGAAACTAACAACTCATGAAATGAGACAAAGTTCAATATCTCTTCTTCATCCGTTTGGACCCAAAACTTCCGAACTTAACGACCCTTATCCATTCCTTTTCCAGCATTTAAAAAAATTAAACAGAGTTCAATACCGAATAAAGCAATCCAACACCCGAAACTGATGGATTCTTACAGACCCAGAAATCTTAAGTTTAAATAAGATAATTAAAAAAACACCAAAACCATAAGTAAGCTTAACCCAAGCTTCACGTGAGCTGAGCTTGCAAGATTGAAGGGGGGGGGGGGGCTTTTCTGATTCTTTTCTCCGATACTACTTTCAAGAAAAATCAAACAAAATTATTACTACCTCTGAGGTACTCCAGTAAAGTCAAGTGAGCAAATCCATCAGGCAACACTTTGCGGACTCCATTAACGTATAAAATAGCCTCCTTCGGTTCCTTCGCAATCTGCTCCATTTCTTCTTCCTTCTTCAAAGAACCCATTTTGATAAGATTGTTCCTTTTGATTCTCTAAACAAAAAACCCAGAAACAGTATCTATCCAGGATCGGAAAACAAACTTGTGGGAGGGGAAATGAATCGGGTTTTCACATGCTCAATTGAAATGATTGATTGATGAAGGTCTAAAAGTACATACTTTATTCAGTTTATTGTAAAGAGACGTACTCTTTTAGATATATGTCTTGACGTCAGCTTCAACGGAGGAAGATTATGCATCTACCCATACGTCCCGAATGCATTCTATTTTAAGTTCTTTTGCAGCTCTTGTAAAACTTTTTGGTTAAACTACAACAATAGTCACTTAACTATTAGTAAATTTACGTTTTAGTTATAAGATTAAAAAACTACTTTTCTATCATTTGACTAGTCGAGTTTGATTATTTTATCATAATAATATACTTAACTTTTAATATTTATATATTTTATCAATTGATTCATAAATATAAAGAATGATTTTAAATATTTTTTAGACTGATCTTGATTATAAGAAAAATAACCTTCAAATTTTTCATTTCGTAAAAAATATTCTAAACATTTTATATATATTTTTATTTCATTTTTCAATAAGATAAATGTTTTAAATTTAAAAATTGTTTTCTGGATTAAAAAAATTGAATGTTCTGACCAATAGAGAGTGAAAGATAAAATTGTTCACGTAATGTTCTGAAAAAAATTTCTTACATTGAAATATAATACAGTACCACCTTAAAGATACCAAAAACACGACGCGTTTGATAAATTTTTCGAGAAATACAAATGAACTACCATGCATATTCCCCATACACCCTGTAAAATTGTTGTTTGTGACACTCTACTTAAAAGAATTATTAGGGTTATAATGGATGGAAAAATTATGCAGGCAAATTTGCCGAAGGTGAGGATAGAAATATCATTCATTATTTTAAAGCAAGGCATTAAAAAGACCTTTAAACGAGGGAAAAAATGAGTCAAAGATAAGCAGGGCTGCGTGGGATAGCGCTGAAAGATTGTCTAATTATTATAATAAACCAACAGTATTACGTCATCGTGTAATATGACTGTCTAATTAGTTTTTGGGTAAGTTACATAAATCATCACTCGATTTCCTTTCACTCTTATTTTGGTCACTAAAATTTAAAAAAATTCGAATTGCTCATATTTTAGTCACTCAATTGTTTATATATCTAACTATGTGCTGATTTTTTTTTTATTAATTTTTTGGAATAGAAATCATGTTTATCATTGTTGTTGATGACTGATATACTCAAAATTTTTAGATTGTTCTATTTTGATCCCATGAATCATAATTCGACCTTTGTTTTCACATGAATCCATTAATCTCAATCGAACCATAAATCTTAAACCATGATCAAACCATAAACCTCATAGCATATCTTCAATCATAAATCATATTTTTGTCCTTAACACTCTACTAATCGGATGAAGAATTCTAATGATGAGAATGTGGACACCGATAAGGAGAACAATATATCTTAAAATCGTGATAACATCATTTTTGATGTAAATTTACATGTCATAACATTGTTAATTACTTAACGATAAAGTAATCAAAATAGGAGCGATTCAAAAATTAAATAACTAAATTAAAAAATTAAACTTTAATTATCAAAATATGAGTGAGAAAAAATTGAGTGGTGAAAAAATAATTTACCCTTAATCTTTGATCCGGGTATGCTTGCCGTAAAGTTGTATCATAGACATACTTAATTGGGCAGTTACGGGGTGGTTGAAATTTTAATCGCTTTGATCTAGATCTAAATCAAAGATAGAAACAAGACCAATTTATTAAATCTGAGTATTTAAAATAAGACGAAACAAGAAATTTTCACATAAACCACATGTTATTTGGTCATCACTACCACATAACCAAAATGAAATGGGTTAGATTTAGATGTCATAGGTTGCCCAAACATTTCCCCATATCTCATGTTATTTGGTCGTGCAAATCAATAAACTTTTATAAAGGAGCCCAATCACACATTACGATGTGATCGTGAAAACAGGAAGACATTACATCAAAGTACAAGGATAACCCGAAATATGAGCAAATCAATAAACCACATGCTAGAGGATCACTAAGCCAATCCATATTCATACATAAATACAATAATATAATCTTTCAAGTGTAAAAAAATATTTAAAAAACTATGATCGTATTCGTCTCTGACATATAATATACTCTTACCTTACATTTAAGCTCGTGTAAGATAGCTAATATCTAAAAGTACATTACTAGTGATGTTTTTTCTTTGAATAGTGGGAGGTAATTACAAGATAGTGTTCGTTGAAGATTTTCTTAGTCAATTGACAACGTATACACACTCTGTAAATGCAATTGTATGAATCGATACCTCTAAAGAGAACAATTTTCTTTTTTAACACTAAGACTATTAAATGGCCTAATTACCATTAATGGCTTAAAGTTAGCAAGAAAACTAACCTCGAAAAATTGAGCTGCAACTTTTGCAACCTGTGCCTATCTTCAGGTTCACACAGAATAAGTCTACACTCTCCAATCTTGTAGCTTCCATAGAGGAAAGAGGTAAAACAAAACACTTAATATATAAGTTTTTTCACACTTAAGTCATTCATTAACTGAGTTCTACAAATTCCAGCAGATTTTATGTATTTTTTTAGGGTGTGTTTGGTTGGGGGAATGTGAGATTCCCATGGGAATGAAATCCACATTCCCCTATTTGGTTGGTCGGGAATATTATTCTCGTTAATCTTACATTACCAATAGTAGATTTTTTGGGATATATTATCGGGAATGTCATTACCTCCCTTCCCTTACGTATTGTTGGATTACCGGCGTTTTGGACTAAAAAGCTCTTAAAAAAATTTCTTTCAAAAATATCCTTATTCTGTCATTAAATAATAAAAATTCTACGAATGTTAAATTACAAATTTATCCTTAAACTATTTTAGATTTACAAAAAAAATCTATAATTAAAATTTTATATGAAGTTCAGGGGTTAAAATAAAATTTTACCATTTCATTAAACCTTTTTACATTTTCAATTTTGTAAAAAAATTATTTGAATTTTATGAATTTAATTTTTTTAAAGAAAACATATAAATATTTTCCAACTGGAATGTGAGATTCCCATGGGAATGAAATCCACATTCCCCTATTTGGTTGGTCGGGAATATTATTCTCGTTAATCTTACATTACCAATAGTAGATTTTTTGGGATATATTATCGGGAATGTCATTACCTCCCTTCCCTTACGTATTGTTGGATTACCGGCGTTTTGGACTAAAAAGCTCTTAAAAAAATTTCTTTCAAAAATATCTTTATTCTGTCATTAAATAATAAAAATTCTACGAATGTTAAATTACAAATTTATCCTTAAACTATTTTAGATTTACAAAAAAAATCTATAATTAAAATTTTATATGAAGTTCAGGGGTTAAAATAAAATTTTACCATTTCATTAAACCTTTTTACATTTTCAATTTTGTAAAAAAATTATTTGAATTTTATGAATTTAATTTTTTTAAAGAAAACATATAAATATTTTCCAACTTATTAAAAAAACAAATATATAATAAGGACAATTTGGTCAAATATACATTCTAATAATATTTAATTCCTTTAACCAAACACAGTAATCTTACATTCCTACTAAACCAACCAAACACAAAATACAACATTCCCAGTAATCCTATTCCCTGGTAATCTTTTATTCTCACTGGTAATCTTACATTCCGTGAACCAAACGCACCTTTAGGAGTTTATAAGTTCAAACAAAATACGGTACATGCAGTCATCAACAAGCTTGTTTTATTATCAATGCTTGCCAGAGAAACGACAATTTCTTAAGGAAAGCAAAGCGGAATAACGTTTTACTGGAGTTTCTTGAAATATTAACCCAAGTACGAAGTTCTTTAGCCAAAGCCAAACATACTGCAACTAACTGTAAAATTTCAATCTAACATCGACATTTGAAAGACATAACATTAAAAATCAGTGGCTAACGATGGGATTTGCATCATCAATGCATAAAGCTCCCTCAAAGATCCCACAAATGAACATGAAAGTATCCCAAAAATTACATGTAAAACTACAATTTTACAGACAACAATATGAACAATGTTCTTCCTATGTGAATTAACTAGACGATAGAAGTTAGAAGATGCTTACCCAACTTTCAAAAGTGTGTCCCAACCAGGAAACGCTTCTCCATTGCTTGTGCATATACATGATACCGTCATTGCCAACTGCAATATGGAAAAATCTTTTAGAATTTGCACAAATTGAAGCTGATTATCAACCAAGTACAATACTTACTAATTTTGACAGGACATAAAAGAGAAAACCAATACAGATGAACACTCACTAGTTTGGTTTCATGTAGAGATTTGTTTGAAATTAGGGATATGGTGTTAGTGTCTTGGGAGAAAGGCCATTAATGTGACATGTGTGACTAAAGAGTTTTTCATATTTGATAAGGAATGCATGAAGGGAGAACAATTATGCTCGTTGTAGTAGAGGAATGACACCTAAAGCTTATAACATAAAAAGTGAGGCATGAAAATACAGTTCATAAATCATGATATTACCAGTAGATTAAGAAAAGATCAGAGAAGAAATGGGCTCAAGGTGTTGACCTTTTCAAATGTAGTTTCCCCCATCCCTTTATAGAGCTCGTAAATCATTGCAGTTAAGAAGATTTTACTCAGCTTAGAGTAACTTTTCATTACCTACAAAAGAAAACGTTTAAGTCATAATCACATAAATCACAATTCTAAGTCCTTTATTCACATACTTAGAATCTCTAATTGCTATCCAGAAAGCATAAAATCATAGCAGAAAAAGCTACTTGTCCAGCATCAAAGGTTCCACAAATATATTGTTCCTCGTCAATTGAGTTTCCAAAGGCCAAGGGGAGGTTACAATTCCTCTAAATCTTCATAAATTTTATAGAAGTTTCAGCACTACTATAAACTTCAAAGCATATCCAAATGATTATGGTAATTCTCATTTTCCCCATTCATAAATTAACTTTGCTAAGATGCAATGGCAAGAAGACATTTGAGGGAATCTATACAAATGAGCATGTTCCTATATAAAACCATCAGAACATAACAGAGTAAGGTTGTGTTTCCTTTGACAAAAGTCTTAACATTCCATGACAAATGCTTTATTTCCATTTCTAAATGATATTTTGAGGAGATGGTTTGTGTCTGCATCTCTTCTGATCTACAAAGACTTCTAGGGATACACTTAGAAGTTAAACAACAGAATCGGTGATCAAAACTGATGATTTACTTGACACATTAATAACCATTGCTAAGCATCATATTTGGAAGTGGAAATAAGAAACGAAAACACAACTAAAATTGTAATTGTAAGATATCTAGTTAATCTTCAACATACTTGGACATGAGGTGCCCAGAACATTTCCTGAATGGCCGCGTCAATCTCGGCCATAGTAACAATATTCACTGGAGAAGGTTAAAACAATATTTATTTTTGCAATCGGAACCACTTATCAGAACTATGAAAATGTAACTAATATGATTCTAAGGTTAACAATAGTTATTCATCAAACATACACCGTGTAGCAGCAGCAGCAGATATCCTATCAAAAAGCAGAAGGATCCATAGAAATATCCAGCGCTATAATGTCAATCCTAGCAAGCTAAGCTAAACCTTTTCATGAATAAAAGAATCATGAAACACTGATTGAAATTGTGCCAATAAATCTTTCATAAAACCAAAGATAAATATCAAGGTTCCAACTACCTGTGGGTTGTGGCACATGGCTCTATGAAATGATGTCTATTTGTAGAATATAGTAATGAAAAACAATTTCACTACTCTAAATTATCTGAAGGAGGGGCCAAGAAAAGTAGTCATTGCTTTGGCTTCTGAAACAAATACAATTATGGACCCAAGCCTTTTTTCTGTAGCAATAGGCAATTATTACTATTATTATTATTATTATTTATGTCCTCCATTTTCTTTGCTCTAGAAACCAAGGTCATTAAACTACCAGTCATGACATTGACTTATTTTGATATTATATTCAATAAAAACAAGCAACACACTAATGATAAAGCCTCATGACTTCCCAAAACATGGATTTTCCAGAAACGTTAAAATAGATAACGAGAACCATATAAAGTAAAAAAGAGTTTGCAAAGGCTTTAGGAATTGAATATCTTCTCAATATTCCTTATCAACTGTGATGTAGATATGTTTAAGCTACGACAACATTCCTTATCAAATGATGATACAGATATGTTAATACTTTAAGCTATGGTTTATCATGTTATATCGAGGACAATTAGCATCCAACATGCTTATTACTAGTTGGTGCCTGACAATGGAATATCATGTAATACAACAATATGGCACCAAATATTCACTAAAAGAATGCAAATACTTACATTAAAAGTCTCTGTCTCCTATAGGTAAATTTACAGCATTAGAAAGCTTCAGAGAAAAGAACTATATGTTCCTCCATTAGAAAGCTTCAGAGAAAACGTTGAACATACTGAAAATACAGTTGATAGACACATCGACAACAGTTTCAATATCATCAATAATAGTAGTGTCAGAGACACTAATAACAATAACAGTAACGTATCGAAAATCATAGATAATGCCGACATGTGGAGCTTTTGGATAGGAGAGTTAAAAACTGAAGAATAAGAGTTGGAGAATTTGATGAAAGATGAAAGATAATTCTCCCTTTCCTTTTTCTGGATTTTCATAACTCAGTATATAGTTAATTATAATGTAGATGTTTATATATTTGAATATATTTTAGAAAGGACTATTGAGATTGATGTACAAAGCAATGCCAGACGAAGAAAAAGATGTTAGATGGAGATCTACAGAAAGATATGTTGTTGACAAAAGTGCTAGGATAATGGTTTGACAATGTTGGAAGAGGTCGATTGAATGTCTTTAGTAATTTAAATTTAAATATCAAGTCTAACATCCATCTTCAAAACCCAAAATCTATTGAAATTTGTTGATAAATCGGGCAAAGTAAACGAAAGAACACAAGAATTTTAACGAGGTTCGGCAATGTGCTTACGTCCTCGGTGCCTAGGCGGCGCTAGAAAATTTTATTCAATTCTCATAGGTTTAGGTTACATCTCTATTTATGATAGAAAACCCTGGTACATAATTACAAAATTAACTCTGTACCGTACCGCGGGGCCGCATCCCCCGCACCCCCAACCCACATAATCGTAACTCCCTCTACGAGACTTTCTTTGTAAGGACAGTTGATGTTCGCTTCGCTCACTCCGCTCCATCCCCTGTCCTCTTTACCGGTATATTTATGAGGCATACCTTACAAAATTTGAATATCGAAACTGAATATTGAAGTTTAATATCAAAAAATCACAAAATGATCGTTCTTAAATCTAAAAAAAATCCCTAATTCATATTTTATTCATCAAGTAACATAATTTGAAAACACTTGACATTAAAAATTACCAAACATAGTTTAGGGTAATTACATACTAAATTACTCGATAACGCAAATATCCTTAGATATAATTACTCGAACTCGAGACCTCTACACAATATTACTTTTTATTATTAAGACCACTTGGTAGATTTTATATAACACATTTATTTACACACTACACTTAAAATCATTATATTGATCCAATTAAACGTAGAGATACTTGATTAACATAATAAGATCTAAATTTGTGTTTCAAACATAGTTAAATGTATAACAACCGAGGGTCCACCGCCCAGTGTGCCTCCCCACATGCAGCAGCCGCTTGTGTCGTTTGCTTCTGAAATGAAATCTGGATCTCATTTACGTAATTACGTTCCACTCCCAGTGTTAGCACACGTTCTTTTCTGTGGCTGTCGTTCCGCCCCCGCGAGGGCTTCCTCGTCATTTCCCTTCCCCACATTTCTGGCCCCTCAATACAAGCACCATAACAAAAATTCCACTGATAATTCCACACTTCCTCTGTTCAGTCAGTCACCCTCTCATCCCTCTATACCCCGATCAGACTTCGCCACGTGGAATACCTCTTGCTATTGGTCCACACCTACCACGTCACTAGGAGGTATGATTTGATCCAATAATACGACGACACGTTGGCACGACGAATAAATGCAAAACCATGTGCTGTTCGCCGAACCATAGAAAAATTTGGACGTAAATCCCCAAGTCTGAACTCTCTTGGACACCACGACGCCCTCATCGATCCTCACAGTCATTTTCTTTCAACCATATATTCATAAACATCGCACCTACCGTCTGATCAAAATCGAACGGTCACCTTTAACGCTCTCCCTCATCTCCCCTTATAAATATCAATCTCCGCCTTCCTTTTCTCAGTTCCTCCATTTCTCGTTTCGCATCTCCGCCGTTGGCGGTACCGTTTTGAAAATGGCGTCCGTCGTACTCACCTACTCATGCCCTCTCGGCTATTCCCGGGTCAAATCACTTGCTCTCTCTTCTAGATCATCTCCGAACCCGGTTTTCTCCACTCCGGTTCTCTCTAAATCTAGTTCAAGCAATTCCAGCTTCATTAAACCGTTGAGTCTCACTCCAATCATTTCTACTAACAGAATCCAGAAAAGTCACCGGAAATTAACTGTCAAAGCGGCGGCATCAACTCCAGCTGCCGCTACTCCGCCGTCTCAGCAACCATGGCAAGGTGCGGCAATGAAGCCGTTAATGGCGTCGATTGCTACAGGTGTCGTCCTCTGGTTCCTACCCGTCCCATCCGGAGTCTCTCGTAATGCGTGGCAGCTGCTTTCCATTTTCCTAGCCACAATCGTCGGCATCATCACTCAACCATTGCCGCTCGGAGCCGTGGCTTTACTTGGACTCGGCGCTTCTGTCCTCACCAAAACACTAACCTTCTCCGCTGCTTTCTCCGCTTTTGGCGATCCTATTCCGTGGCTCATCGCCCTCGCCTTCTTCTTCGCTCGCGGTTTCATCAAGACTGGACTTGGTAACAGAATAGCTTACCAATTCGTTTCTCTATTCGGATCTTCCTCTTTAGGTTTAGGCTACAGCTTAGTCTTCAGCGAAGCTTTGTTGGCGCCGGCAATTCCGTCTGTATCTGCACGCGCTGGAGGAATTTTCCTCCCTTTAGTCAAATCTCTCTGCGTCGCGTGTGGAAGCAACGTGGGTGACGGAACGGAAAATAGATTAGGATCCTGGTTAATGCTGACATGTTTCCAAACTTCCGTTATTTCTTCGTCGATGTTTTTAACAGCAATGGCGGCGAATCCGTTAAGTGCTAATCTGGCTTTCAATACAATTAAACAACAGATTGGATGGACGGATTGGGCTAAGGCAGCAATCGTGCCGGGTTTAGTTTCGTTGCTTGTTGTACCATTGATTTTGTATGTTATTTATCCACCAACGGTGAAGACTAGTCCTGACGCGCCAAGGCTTGCCAAGGAGAAACTGGAGAAAATGGGACCGATGACCAAGAATGAAATTATTATGGCTGGGACTCTGTTTTTAACGGTATGATATTATTAGTACTCTATTTATAAAATTTCTTTACCCTTTAATTCGTTATGATTATTTATGTTTTATTCATGCCTAATGCCTATATAACTTTGGTAGTATGTTCTGTCCTCTATCACAATCTACCTAGTGGAAATGTCGCACTGGAAAAATAATTGTAGGGGACCATATTCACTTGTGATCACGAGTTTAGCCTCATTTTAGTTGGGGAGGCGCTAATTTAATGCATCATTAAAGTAGTCAATCTAGTTTAATTATTGACATTGCTGGTCGAGCTTTAGATGTTGATTGTGGTACTTGTTTTGCTGAATTCTACAGCGGTTGTCCTTGGGCTTATGAAACTGGCTCATGTCTCCGTTGCCTTATACCTTGTCTTTCCTTGAAGAGCTACACTTAGTATTTTGCTAGATTACTTTTAGTGCAGAGGGAAAGAGATACTCTTTGAATTAGGATTTGGTGGAAACTGTACAGTTTGCATTAGGTCTTTGGGTTTTGATAATCTGGACTTGTAATAGAGACTCTGCATCTAGAGGTTTGACAGGAGACTGGAGGAAAGAGTCTTATTCTTTTATAAAAGAGATCGCGGTGGTGCATATCTTTCTACCACATCTTGATGCTCAAATTGAAATGGAATTTCCTGTGCCAATCTGTTCATGCGGTTATATATTTTGCTTTGCTCCAGCATTTTCATATTTAATCTAGTTCCTTTGTAATTGCTTTTTGATGATGGATTTGGTGGAAGATAAACATGGATTTGTTGCCATTCAATGTGATTTTGGAAGTGAACTTTTGAAATTAACTTGGTTTTGGAGTAAGAGGTCTGATAGATACCTTAGTCTAATAATTAGGTTAGGTTGTGGATGGGCCTGAAGAGGACAGACTCCCTCATAATCTTGCTTCTAAGATACTTGTTAACAGCAATTTGATCAAATATAGACTTTATCATGTCATTTTTACTTTTGTTAATGATTACCA